ATTATTATATTCTCAGACTTCCAGTTCCGTGTCCAAGAGAGCAGTGGACAGTGTGTGCGTTCGGGTAAGGAAGAACAGAGCTGTGGAGATGAGGAACCCTGCAGGCTCACCGTTCTAACCCAAAGGTAGGTGAGGGCTCCTTGAAGACACAATTGCAGGCAACTTTAGCTTAGCACACGTATACTTTTATAATTTCTGTAGTGTTCAGTCTTCAGGTTCTGAAAGGTAAAATATCCATGTGCAATTCTTGGTATATATGTCATTTAGAGCTAAAAGCCTTAGACTGATTAAAATCTCCTCCTGCCTCTCATGTAAAATATTAGGCTTCCCAAGATACATTCAGGTTAGAAGGTGATTTTTTTTTATTGTATTAAAATTCATTCCACAAACTTTAACTGAGCACCTACAGTGTATAAGAAAACAACTGGCACAGTCCCTTTCTTTAAAAATGATATTAAAAGCTACCTGGGAGCAGAGAGAGAAACACAATTATATAAATGACATTAGCGTTATGATGTATTAATACCTTATGTTTTGATAATGCTTTGATGTTTACAATGTGCTCTCACATGAATCGTCATCGAATTGACTTACGCACCAACAAACGTCAATAAGGGGAAAGTTTAGGATGAGGCTGGAGGTGGAATAAAGGAACACAGGTATTTGTTGGGTAAATACTGCATATCAAGCACTGGTCATCCATCTATTCATTCATTCACTCATTTACCTTTTTAAAAAGAATTACTGAATAACTGATAAGAGCTGGGTAGAAGCTAGGATTACAACCCTGATGAAACAAAGTCTCTGCCTTCAAGGAGTTTACATTTGGAGGAAAGAGCAGAAACAAATAGGCACATAATGACAGACAGTAAAAATGCTAGGTGGTCACAAGTAAACCCTGGTGCAAAGCAAGCCTTATGGTCCCGTTCCATAAAAGATTCTGAGGTGCATAAAGGCGAAGCTGCTCAGGGTCACACAGCCAAACTAAAACATTTGACCCTGAAATCAAAGGATGTGTTCTTTTGAACAAGCTGCCTCTAGGTTCCAAAATGCAACCCTGAAATAAAAAGATAGACCTGACATTGTGCCTGATGACCTAAAACCGCTAAGGTGATGGACCAGAGAAGCATGGTCATCTGAATTCAAAAGAGAAACCAACAGGAATTAGCTTCTATCTGCGAAGATGTGACTTGTCTGTACCCAGACTCTCTACTGGGTGCCTTAATCGTCAGTTAAAATGAGAAAATTAGCATCACTTGACCCAGTAAATCTATCTCTGAGCTTACAGATGCAAACAAAAATGCATTTACAAAATATGGAGTGCAAAATTATTTGAAAACAGTACTTAAGACTCAATTAGGCAAATTGAAGAGCACAATGTCTAACTTTTGTGGCCTCTCACCTCTTGAACATTTTATAAGCCTGACCCCCCCAATGCCACCTACTCACCCCATTTCCATAGTCCCATTTCAACCCGTCTCCTAAGACTCCTAAGCTCTCCTGGCTAGTGCCCCATTCTGGCTGAGCCTTCATGACCAATGCTTATTCTCCACCTTCCTGATGGCCACACACCTCTGAAAACCAGTCTCTACCTTAGTACCAATGTATTTACCCACCACATTCCACGAAGGCTCAGGGAGATCTTACAGTAACAACAACAAAACACATACCGTAGAACAATAAAATGCAAGGAAGAGACTGTTCAGAGACTATACTTGAAAAATATGGTGTAGGAAAATTAAACCTCATATATCTGTTTTAGTGTATGGAAGCCAAAACAAAGAAAAATGTCCCAGGACATAGTCTTCACTGTCTAAGAATCTTACTCATTTACTAGGGAAGCTGACCCTTGGGTCTAGAACAAAAGGTTCCCTTGGGGCCTCAAACGGGGAGAACTGAATAGATCTTCTACTCAACACAGACCTAGGGTGGCTCTTCTTTGTAGACACCTGGATAAAAGACAATAGCATAATTCCAAATGTAGTATAGCACTTAGATAGCTGTCTGCTGTTCGCTAAGTGGCAGGGAAAAATTCCAGAGCTTCAGTTCTAGGTAACCTGTTACTGAATGCTGGGATATTCAAATATGATTCCTATAGAGAAGAGGAAATTCACTTTTCATAGGAATTAAATTATTTTACTGGCGAGAAAATCAAGAATCTAGGAAAATCAAGAGAAGAATTTTATGTAAGAGGCTTTCTGTGTGTCCTAACCCCTCTAATTTAATAAAACCATGAAATACACCCAACTGTAAGAGAACTGGAAAAAGAAATGTCACAAATAGGTTGCTTGCAGGGGGGGGGGGGTGGTATTATGCTTTTATTTCAGAAAAGGAAAGAAGCACTCTATTGTTGTTTTCCCCATCTAGTATACTCACTTCTTTCTTATCCTATTATCTTCAGATATAATTCCATTGCTTCAAATACCAAGACTGTCTACTTACTTTCTATTGTTTGAGCCTATCTGAATTTTTTTAAATTATCTGTAATATAAGCATCCTTGGACATATTTGTATTGAAGACTTTTGTCCTCTGATGGCCGGATACCTGATTTAAGAAAACCTAGTTTGCTATAACATAGAAAGAGTAGAAAACCCCTGGAATTTGCATCAATAAACCTATCTTTCTATGAGTTCAACTATTTTCAATTCTACTTACCAGTGAGATCATGCAGTATCAGTCTTTCTGCACCTGGCTTACTTCATTAGGCAAAATGTCCTTGACTCACAGAAGCAGAGTGTAGAATGGTGAGTACCAGGGTCTGGGAGGCGAGGGAAATGAGATGTTGGTCGAGGGGTACAAAGTTTCAGGTATACAGGAGGAATCAATGCGACTATAGGTGACAATATTATATATTTGGAATCTGTTTAAAGGGTAGGTCTTAAATGTCCTTATGAAAAAACATCGCAAGCCCTGGCTGGTTTGGCTCAGCGGTTAGAGCATTGGCTCATGGACCAAAAGGTCTTGGGTTCAATTTCCAGTCAAGGGTGTATACCTGATTGCAGGTTTGATTCCTGGCCTCAGTTGGGGTCATGCGGGAGGAAACCAATCGATGTGTCTCTCTCTCTCACATCAGTGTTTCATGTTCTCTCTCTCTCTCTCTCTCTCTCTCTCTCTCTCTCTCTCTCCCCCTCCCTCCTTTCCACTCTATCTAAAAATAAATGGATTAACAACTAAAAAAGAAAAACATCATAATACTGAAAACAAATTTTTAATTCTCCATCTTTCACCAATTTATAGACTGACTGGAAAAATAAACACCCTTCTCTGTTCACTCCTAAAGTGAGGAGGGTTGGGTTAAGTCCCCTCTAAGGTCCTGAAGCTTTGACGATCAGTTTGTCTGTGATCTTCCATGTCCTCTGAACAATGATTGAAACTCAACATTCTACCAACAGCCCTCTGGGCCCAGCTGAGGTCCTCGTGTCTCAGAGAATGGAGAGGAGTATTTGTGAGGGCCTGATTTGTCTCTTCCTTGTAAGGATGAGCTGAGGATTAAATAATCAGGCTACTTAACTAACTGTGTACACCTTATCTACCTTCTGTAGTTCTGATAAACCAAAGTAAGCCCTAGACTCTCTGATCTGGCAAACTGGTACATAAAAAAACTTTTTTTAATTCAATTATTCACCAGACACTTGTTTAAAACAATAAGACAGATTTTATTCAAGACTGTTGGGTTAGGAGTGAAGACTATTGCAATAGAGGAGAGAGATTTGGCTGAACGTTAAATACAACAAAGACAAGTGGGAATTTATAGCCAAAGAACAGAATGAGGGGGTCAGTGGGTGGAATCTAAGAGGAGACATCAAGGATAGAGGAATTCTTGCTAAAATAGCTGACCAGGGTTCTTGCTAAAGACAGGTCAAGAACTTAGATGCAAGAAGTTAGATATCAAGGGTGGGGAGTGAGGAATTTGATCAGATATCAAGGGTAGGGGCTTGTGGTCAAATGATTTAGCAGAATTCTTGCTAAAACTGGGCTCAACAAGGAAAGACATGGAAAGCCAAGATCAAGTTCTAGTTGAGAAGACAGTTCAGAGGAGCCTAACAAAAATTTGGTCAATTTTTGTTATGGCTTCCAACCGGTATGGCTCAGTGGATTGAGCATTGTCCCATGGACTGAGAGGTCCCTGTTCAATTCCCAGTTGGGGCAAATGCCTGGGTTGCTAGCTTGATCCCCAGTAGGAGGAGTGCAGGAAGCAGCTGATCGATGTTTCTCACTCACATTGATGTTTCTCTCTCTAAAAAACAACAACAATAAAAAACATATTTAAAAAAAAACAAAAAAGTCTTTGTCCCCCTGGCCAGCATGGCTTAGTGGTTACAGCATCAGCCTGTGCATCAAGGGATCCTGGTTTCGACTCTTGGTCAAGGGCAGAATCCACCCCTAGCCCCCATCGAGACTTGGGTGGGAGGCAACCAATCGATGTGTCTCTCTCATATCAATGTTTCTCTCCCCTCCACCCCCGCCTTCTTCCCTTCCACTGTATTAACAACAACAAAAAAGGACTCTGTCAAGTCAGGGAAATTATTTGAGTTCAAATCCTTGATTTTCCCATTTATTAACTTTACAGTTATGCAAATACAGGCAGGTCATTAACTCCAGTTTCCCCACAACTGCTCTAAAGACCCCACAGAGACATTATAAGAATGAAAATCAAGATGGGATGTGAAAACCTATGGTAAAGTAGAGAGCTTTGCGTACAATGTGAGGAAGTTATTTTACAGGACATGAGATAAGTCAGAGCCAAATGACCACTGTCCTCTCCTCTCCCTTTGGTCAGAGTAAGGACATAGGAGTGTGATGGTTCTTCCTGTCAGTCGGAAAGAACCACTGAGACAAAGAATTTCCAGACCAGCTTTCTGAGCAGTCATGATCATTCGGATGCTTGACAGAGACTTATAACAATGTATGATAAATGATGTTGTTGCCTTATGATACCGTACTCCTGATCCTAACATGTCTTCTCCCAACACAGACCTGGAAGAAGGTGATCCTTGTCATGGGCCAGACCAACCACACCAATGTGAGGGAATTTGTCTTCCTGGAACTCACTCGCTTCCGGGAGCTGGAGTTGTTCTTGTTTGTGTTCTTTCTTGCTGTGTATGTGACCACTGTGCTGGGCAATGCTTTCATTGTGGTGACCATCACCTGTGACTCCCACCTCAACACTCCCATGTACTTTCTCCTAAGGAACAAATCGGTTCTAGACATTGTTTTTTCGTCTGTCACCGTCCCCAAGTTCCTGGTAGATCTTTTGTCAGAGAGGAAAACCATCTCTTACAATGGCTGTATGGTACAGATCTTCTTCTTCCACTTTGCTGGGGGGGCGGATATTTTTTTCCTGTCTGTGATGGCCTATGACAGATACCTTGCAATCTCCAAACCCTTGCATTATGTGACCATTATGAGGAGAGAGGTGTGGGTGGCCTTGGTGGTGGCTTCGTGGGTGGGTGGTGGTTTGCACTCAGTTGTCCAAATAATTCTGATGCTTCCCCTGCCCTTCTGTGGTCCCAACATCCTGGATGCGTTCTACTGTGATGTGCCCCAGGTCGTTAAGCTGGCCTGCACGGACACCTTTGCTCTGGAGCTTCTCATGATCTCTAACAATGGGCTGGTGACCCTGCTGTGGTTCCTCCTGCTCCTGGGGTCTTATACTGTCATTCTGGTGATTCTCCGATCTCGCTCTGGGGAGGGCTGGAAGAAGGCCCTCTCCACCTGCACCTCCCACATCCTGGTGGTGACTCTTCACTTTGTGCCTTCTGTGTACATTTACTGCCGGCCCTTCACTACACTGCCCATGGACACAGTGGTGTCCATCAATAACACGGTCATCACTCCCATGCTGAATCCTATCATCTACACGCTGAGAAACCAGGAGATGAAGGCAGCCATGACGAGACTGAAGAGGAGACTTGGACCTTCCGAGAGTAGTAAACTGGGGTGAGCCGTCAGACTGAGACTGGAAATCTAACTCTGATTTGGTTTCCTCAAACTGCCTATCTGAGGGTAAGAGACAGCGAGCTCTATCTCCAGTCATTTCTATACATCCTCAGAGCCCGTCAGCTCCAGGAGAAAGAACATAAGCACAAAAGGCAGAGATGAGGTTGAACAACATAACTATAGACTTGCGGACTGGGAGAAGTATGGGGTATAAGATTGAAGTTAATAACCTAAAGGTTGCTTTGGTGTAACCTGTGACTCTCAAGCCAATGTATTTTAGCTCACTTTCAATACCTGTAATATGAAAATAATGTGTCTACTAACAAGGTTGTCATGAGAATAAAACATGATAAATGTTGAGAGGATATAGTTACGCCCTAGCCAGTTTGGCTTAGCGGTTAGAGCAACGGCCCGCGGACCACAGAGACCCAGGTTTGGTTTCTGCTAAGGGCACTAAGGGTTGCAGTTTGTCCCCAGGGCCCCGGTTAGAGTCATGTGGGTGGCATCCAGTTGATGTGTCTCTCTCACATCGATGTTTCTCTCTCTCTCTCTCTCTCTCTCTCTCTCTCTCTCTCTCTCTTCCTCCCTCTCTCCCTCCAGCTCTATCTGAAGACAAATACAAAAATGTCCTCAGGTGAGGATAAAAAAAAGAGAGAGAGAGAATGTAGTTACAATAGTGAACCCCACTCCCGGCATTGATCCGGCATACAGTCAATACTCCCTATTATCTATGCCTCTGACCCTAAGGTGCACATAGACAGAATATGGAGGTACTTATTTCACACGTACTTTCTCTGGTGACAGTTATTATTAGCTGATTACTAAAATAACTTCTTGATTTTATATTTTGAGTACAGAATTTTCAATGTATTTCACCAATTAGTGAAAAGAGAAATAATATTTTCATTTATCTTAAGCCAGTATATACATGGACAAATCTGCACATGAACCCAGTATTTCCTATTCTTAGGTCCATCCATTCTACTTATCTTCCTACTGAAATTAATCTCAAAAGTGCTTGTACAGTTTGGAGATATATCTGCAAAAAGCCACCATGATCATTTATTTGATGTTAACCTGGACTTTCTTTTTCCCTAGATCTCCTCTTTCTATCCAAGACTTTTATAGTTGGAGCAAAACTATAATATTTGTCTATGCATGCGTAGATAATTTAAGTTGCGGTATTTGCACCCCCCCCAAAAAAAAAAAACACTGCCTAAGAGCCCTGGCCGGTTTGGCTCAGCGGTTAGAGCGTCGGCCTGCGGTCCAGAGAGACCCGGGTTTGGTTCCCGCTAAGGGCGCGTACCTCGGTTGCAGTTTCTCCCTGGCCCTGGTTGGGTCGTGAGGGTGGCAACCACTCGATGTGTCCCTTTCACATCGATGTTTCTCTCTCTCCCTCCCACTCTGTCTGAACAACAACAAAAAAAAAAAAATGGAAAAATGTCCGCGGGTGAGAATAAAAACAAAAAACTACCTAAGAAATACCTTTTTCTGTACTCAAGACTCATTTTGCCAGGAGAACCCAAAGAAAACCCACATCAGAGGCAGGGTCATTTAGGAATAGTCACTGGATCTGTGTGGTAGCCCACCTCTCTCGCAAGGGAATGATCCCAACAGAGTGGACATATAGACAGTGAAAGTCCCTTCTCTCTCTATGTGCACCTTAAATTTACCTTTCAGCCTCCAGTTGTAATTCACAAATTAGCCAGGAGGAATAAGGAGGCTCAGGAAATTGCAACACACAAAACAATTTTTGCAAGTTGTTATGATGCATCAACATTTGGTCCCAAAAGTCCTAGTCGGTGACACACCTATGATCTCTGAGGTCTACAAGGCAGAGACACTGGGCCAAGACTCCTAATGGCATGCCAGTGCTTCTATAAGCTTTTTGAATTATCTTCCTCCCAAGGAGCTTCATTAGATATGTTTTTTAATTTTTCTAAAATGTTTGGATACGTAGCACCCCACAAGAAAACGTAATACCAGAGATGTACAGTACATCTTTTCATGTCCTGAGGCTCTGTGAGGGGCCACACATGACTGTACTATCTAAGATTTTTTTGGCCCCCAAATAACCACTTTTTGCACCCTTGGGCATGTTGCCCACATTGGTGGGGATGGGAAGAGATTAACCAAAGAACATATATGCATATATGCATAGCCTATGGATACAGATAATAGTGTGGTGAAGGCCTGGGGTGGGGTGGGGAGGTGGTGGAGGGGGGCAAAGGGAGGAGGGAAATGGGGAACATCTGTAATACTGTCAACAATTTATAAAGAATGAATGATCATGTAACATTAGATATTTCTATTGATATATTGCCTCAAAACTCAGAGACTCACAGAATAGATTTATGCCTTCTAGGGCCTTGCAAAAATTCTTAAAGCATAGAAATGTGGGTATCTGTGTGTGTGTGTGTGTGTGTGTGTGTGTGTGTGTGTGTGTGTGTGTGTTTGCATATGTGTGGACTTACATGCACTAATGATTTGGAAACTACTTAAATCCCACTGGAATCCCAACATTACCAGAAGAATGTTCATTCTGTTTCCACTCACATCCAATAAAATTTCTTTTGCTAATTCTCATATTAGGCTTGGGCCTGAGGGGCTGGTGTACATGGCAAAGATACTTTGGGATAAACAGAATACCATGTGACATGACTCCCAGTGTACCTCTTCCAAGGTGAGTACATCAAACTAAAGAGCTTTTGCACAACAACAACAACAACAACATCAAGAAATGAAAAGACAACATACAGAATGAAAGAAAATGTTTTCAAAGTATATATCCAGTAAGGAGTTAATATTTCAAAATAGATAAAGAACTCATACAAGTCAATAGGAGAAAAAAAAAAATGAGCAGAGGAATAAATAGATACTTTCTTTTCCTTTCTTTTTTCCTGGCTTATAAACAACAGAAATTTATTTCACAGTCTGGAGACGAGACGTCTAAGATCAGGGTAGCAGCAAGGTCTGATGAGAGCCCTCTTCTGGGTTACAGCCTGCCATCTCCGCATCTTACCCTCCCGTGGTGAAAAAAGAATGAGAGAATGAGAGAGGTCCCTTTCACAAGGGCACTAATCCAATTCGTGAGGGCTCCACCCTCATGACCTAATTACCTCCAAAGGCCCTACCTCCTAATACCATCATATTGGGGGGGTAGGATTTCAACATATGACTTTTTTTTTACTATGTATTGGTTTCGGGTATTCAGCTTAGTGGTTAAGACAATCATATACTTTACATAGTGTTCTCCCCATATTCCCAGTACCTCAAGTGGCACCACACATAGTTATCACAATATTATTGACTATATTTCATATGCTGTACTTACTTCCGCTTGACTATTTTGTAACTACCAATTTGTGCTTCTTAGTCTCTTCACCTCTTTCACTTAGTGCCCCAACCCTCCCCATCTCTGGCAGTCACCAGTTCTCGCTCAGTGTCTATGAGTCTGTTTGAATTTTGTTTGTTTCTTTATTTTGTTCTTTAGATTCCACTTATAAGTGAAATCATGCGGTATTTGTCTTGCTGTGACTGACTTATTTCTCTGAGCATAATATCCTCTAGGTCCATCTATGCTGTTACAAATGGTAAGATTTCATTCTTTTTTATGGCCAAGTAATATTCCACCGTGTATATATGCCACAGCTCTTTTATCCACTGTCTATTAATGGGCACTGTGGTTGGTTCCAAATCTTAGTTGTTGTAAATAATGCTGCAATGAACATAGGGGTGCATATATTCTTTCAAATTAGTGTTTTGGGGTTCTTCAGATAAATTCCCAGAAGCAGAATCACTGGGTCATAAGTCAGTTCCATTTTTAATCTTTTGAGGAACTCCACAGTGTTTTCCCTGGTGGCTGCACCAATCTGCATTCCCACCAACAGTGCACTAGGCTTCCCTTCTCTCCACACCCTCGCCAACACTTGTCATTTCTGGATTTACTGATGATAGCCATTCTGACAGGTGTGAGGTGACATCTCACTGTAGTCTTACTTTGTATTTCTCTGACATTTAGTGACACTGAGCATTGTTTCATATGTCTGTTGGCCCTCTGTGTGTCCTCTTTGGAGAAGTGTCTCTGGATAGATTTTTTTAAAGACAGATGAATGGTCAACAAGTACAGGAAAAGGCGCTCAGCATCACTAAGTATCAAAGAAACACAAGTCAGAAAATATGAGAGATAAGTGTGAGCAAGTATGTGTAAATCCTTGTGTATTGTTGGTGGAAATATTAATTGGTATGGTCACTATGGAAAACAGTTTAGAGGTTCATCAAAAAATTTTAAAAAGCACTACCATATGGTCCAGCAATTCCATCTCTGGGTATATATCCAAAGGAAATGAAATCAGAGCTTCAAAGAGGTATTGGCACTCCCATGTTTATTGCAGTATTATTTACAATATCCAAGATATAGAAATAATCTGTGTCCACTGATGTGAAGAACAGATAAAGAAGATATGCCATGTATGCATGTGTATATGATAAGTATGTATATGTATATGTGCGTGTGTGTGTGTGTGTATACACATATATATAATTCAATATTATCAGCCATAAAAAATTAAGAAAATCCTGCCACTTGCAACATGGGTGGCCCTTGAGAGAATTATGCCAAGGGAAATAAATCAGACAGAGAAAAATCATTACGGTATGATCTCACATACATGTGTCATGTAAAAATCTGAACAACATGGAGAGCAGAACGGTGGTTGACAGGTGCTGGGGCTGGGAGAGATGAGAAGATGTGAGTCAAAGGGTACAAATGTCCAGTTATAAAGTGAGTAAGTTATAGAGATCTAATGTATCACATGGTGATTACAGTTAACAATACTGTATTGTACATTTGAAATTTGCTAATAGAGTAGATCTTAAATTATATCACCTCAAGAAGAATTCTGGGAGTGATAGAGGTGTTAGCCGACACTACAATGATAGTCATTTTGCAATATATAAATGTACCAAATTGATACATTGTATACCTTAAACATATACAATGAC